GTTTCTAGAACAACCGACAACCAATAACTGACTATCCTGTTCGAGTAAGAATTCGCTCCAGAGCCCTAGGCTTTGCTAGCAAAGGATCAAATTTCTTCCCCTGAGGCTTAAATCAGATCCCAACGGAGCGCGATAATGGCGAAGCATATTTTTTATATATATTTGTAAAACGCCTTTCAAGATGGTTACTTTGATATATTTTGCGTAGTTTTGTATGAAGTAGTTTGTTGGTAAATAATTTGCGAATGCGTCTCTAAAATAGTGTTGGAACTAACGCGCTACAAGTAACGACGTTACTGGTAACGCGTTAGTTTTTCTGCTAACGTACTAGCGTACTCGTTAGAATCCCCGATGACTAACAAGTAAAGTAATGCCGTTATTATTTTACGGTATCTCCTATCAAATTACGTCACTCGTTACTCATTACTTTTGATTAAACGTGGCCGCACGAATGAAAACAAAATAGTTTTAGTCTGTACACTACGTAGAAGTTGCAAAGATACCACAACAATGCTACTGATGAGTGGCGTCATTTCAAGCTCCTTCGGAAGCCCGTCGCTTTCGGACGACGCTTTTAACGTTCCCACGGCCGAGCCCAAAAGGCGCGAGATTATCACTGCGCGGAACTCCTAAGCGTCCTTGGTGCAGTCTTTGTACAGAAGCTCCTAAGGTCACAGTCGCCGTACCCTAAAGGAGCAGCCGTCTCGCTGAAAGAGACATCTATTCAGAAGGCAACAGTCTGCCGCCGCTCGAAGGAGTTTTCCTCAGCGTCTCTAGCTACTCCAGCTGGTCAGATTCTTCTCTTCAAAACATTTAAATTCCCGTTCTGTCAACAGAAAGGTTAAAATCTAATACCCCATTAACATGGGCGGCATAAAGGTAACTTTAGAATAGGTCATTATCGTAAAGGGAGATGGAGCTCGTATTCACACGGCGCACAAAGGTCCCTTTCGCTAAAGGAGGGTTTAACATAAACTGAGCTCGCAGACCTCCGTTTACAGCTACGGAGAATAACCTCGGACCTATGAATTCCAAATATAAATCTAGCATATATGCTCCTGCTTTGTTTATTGCATTGTAATAAAAAGAATATTTGCGAGGCAAAGTAAACGTGAGCACAAACGTTATCGACGCAAGCGGCGACAAATTTATACTCGCGACAGCGGGCAGCAGCAGTGGCCTGAACGCAATGGCGGCTGTACGTGCTTTGAGTAGCGAGTACTTTGATTAGCGACGACGAATCGGCCGCTTCGCCTGCCCAGCGGATGTTCGTGACCATGAATTCGCCTGGTGGACCTGTGAGCTTGGGTGCCAGCACCCAAGCTCACCAGCACCCAAGCTCACCACCAGTAAGAAAGGCACTTGAGTTCGCAGGTCTGAGGCGGAAACATGGTCATTCATTCGCCTCAGGGAGGACAACATCGGCGAAGTCCGGCTACAAAGGAGGAACGCCCGAGTGTACGAGACGACCCGCCCCGATCTTGAAAGGCTCTCTATTGAGAAAACTCGGAGGAAGACGCAAAGAAGTAGCACAGCAAACTCTGGGAATCACGGAGAGTTGTCGATCACGTTTCGCATCTTGTGTACCGCCGTCCTTTGGATTTGGATTAGATGACACGGCGGGTAGGGTATGGCTACACTAACGAGACATTCTCAAGAAAAGCTGATTTTTTTTAATTGCACCATGCAATAAAATCAATAAAACAATTACTCATTTGTTTTAAAACGACATATTCCACTTCTAATGAAGTAAAGAATGTGTCTCAACCTGGTTAGACCAAAAATTGTATATTGCTCCTTCGCCCCTCGGTTTAGCCGGGCTTTCCCCGATGCAAAAAAATATCAACCCTAAACCCTCCGTTTATATGCCGTGTGATAACGAACGCCTTTTGATACAGGTACCTTTATCTAAGGGATTTAAGGTACAAGTCCTTTAGGCAGCCTGTGTGAATGGGGTATATGTTTTGAAGCGTTGACGTTCCCCCGCTTTGAACCAAAACAAATGTGTCCGAGGTGGCCGGGTGCTGACGTTGTAAATGCAGCGCTGCTTTGTGAATGAATAAAATAACGTTTATTTTACCGGATTAACTTTGATTACATGGAGGTCTATTTTGCGTCTGCTACGTGGCGTGTATTCGGTCGTTTTTCTCAAAGCGGTTTCTTCTCCCCAGGCAGGCGCTACGGGTAAGGCTCAGCTCTCGGAATCGCTCTCCCGAAGCGTCACGTGTTCCAGAATATACATAACACATCATGCCGACAGTGAATCGTTTATTAATCTGAACAATGCAATGTGAATTTCTTTGTTAGTATTTTTGGTGTAATTGAAATTTTAAAATTGTATTATTGTATGTTGTTTGGAATTGTCTATTTATATTGTTGGTTGCTATCTCGTGCCGTTTGTGCGAGTTTCTAACGTTTAAATGTGATCTGTACCCCACTCCCCTGCTCCAACGCTGCTGCGCTGCAAAGTACAAATACATAAAGAAATAAAGAAATGATCACTCTGAACAAGTGTATTGTTGCCGAAGTTTATAAAGGCGGTTTATTTTAAACAGCTGTCATATACTAACAGTGAAACACAAAGTAACGTCAAAATAACGTAAAGGTTATGTTAGTCATGGCAAGTAATGACATCGGTATTTCGTTACATCTGCAAAATGGTAAAGGAGCTCTGTAACGTGTTAGCTTTTTGCAAGCTAACGAGTAACGCTGTTTCGTTACTTTTTTTCGGTAACGTGCACAACACTGCTGAAAATGTGCCTATTCGATATGTTTCGGTTTTTCTTTTTGCATTGAAATTTTTTATTGTTATTTTCGATAAAATGTGTAAGTTTCGTGAACCAAAGAATGAAATAAGTCTAAAAATATATTACTAGATGCATGGTTCGGCGTGAAATTGCCGGTTATGCAAATACATACATGCATACGATGTATAAATGAATACGATGGCGAAACCTGGGCAATCTAAACGCCTCGAGCTTCGAAATTTTATATCTCCGGAAGAAAATTAGCTACGGCTGGCAATTTGGCCAGTTGAACAGAGGAAAAGGAGAACACTAAGGAGAGGAGAAGAGAAACACATCGCTGAACACGTTTTTCCGTGTTCAGATGAATCGATTGCCAACAGTATGTACCAACCAGCTCAACTAAAACCCGTAACTTAGCTAAGGTGTTCGCACACAGCTGAATGCTCCTTTCAAGATATAAGATATATTTTTACATAAATATATAAAAAAAATCACTCGGACCATCATTGCACGATCTGACGTGAAAACGTCATGCACAATCACGATTGAAGGAACATGCAGCGAAAGCAAAGGTATAAGCAGACAACGTGAGCAGAGAGAGTGGCCTGTCCCGAACGGCGGTGTCGCCAATTTTGTCCTAGAAACGCACACTTTGGTTCTTAATTCAGAAACCTCAGCTCCGTGCTCGCGCTTATAACATCCTCCCTTTTTCAGCAATTATCTCTCTCTCTCTCTCTCTCTGTATATATATATATATATATACAACACGGGCACTTCACACCATCGTACGTGGTCTCCGAGGAGGATATAAACGAAATTGTGCAGATGAATGAACCGTACTTAATCCAATGAATTAAAGAATCCAAGTTTCCAGGAACCCGCCGAAAGCCAAAAAACGGCGGAGCCAGGATTTGAACTCTGGGCCTCCCAATGTCCGGTCGGGTGTGCTAACCAGTCCACCACTCCACCTTGGCTTTCTGGCGTTTCCTACCTGTCTTATTAATGCACAAGAAACGAAATGTATCCAATCGGAGGTGTTCTGGAAACACACGCCGCCGCGTGGAACGCGGTACGACGCTTAGTGTCACGTGGTACGTGCTCGTTTGTGCTCCAGAAATCCTCCCACTGTTTGTCTCGCCCCGTGTACATGTAGTAGTATTCTTTGTTTTATGAGCCTTTTTAGAGACGGTATCATCATCATCTGCGAGAATCAAGAGCCACGTTATTGAATATACAACACGGGCACTTCACACCATCGTACGTGGTCTCCGAGGAGGATATAAACGAAATTGTGCAGATGAATGAACCGTACTTAATCCAATGAATTAAAGAATCCAAGTTTCCAGGAACCCGCCGAAAGCCAAAAAACGGCGGAGCCAGGATTTGAACTCTGGGCCTCCCAATGTCCGGTCGGGTGTGCTAACCACTACACCACTCCACCTTGGCTTCCTGGCGTTTCCTACCTGTCTTATTAATGCACAAGAAACGAAATGTATCCAATCGGAGGTGTTCTGGAAACACACGCCGCCGCGTGGAACGCGGTACGACGCTTAGTGTCACGTGGTACGTGCTCGTTTGTGCTCCAGAAATCCTCCCACTGTTTGTCTCGCCCCGTGTACATGTAGTAGTATTCTTTGTTTTATGAGCCTTTTTAGAGACGGTATCATCATCATCTGCGAGAATCAAGAGCCACGTTATTGAATATACAACATGGTCACTTCACACCATCGTACGTGGTCTCCGAGGAGGATATAAACGAAATTGTGCAGATGAATGAACCGTACTTAATCCAATGAATTAAAGAATCCAAGTTTCCAGGAACCCGCCGAAAGCCAAAAAACGGCGGAGCCAGGATTTGAACTCTGGGCCTCCCAATGTCCGGTCGGGTGTGCTAACCACTACACCACTCCACCTTGGCTTCCTGGCGTTTCCTACCTGTCTTATTAATGCACAAGAAACGAAATGTATCCAATCGGAGGTGTTCTGGAAACACACGCCGCCGCGTGGAACGCGGTACGACGCTTAGTGTCACGTGGTACGTGCTCGTTTGTGCTCCAGAAATCCTCCCACTGTTTGTCTCGCCCCGTGTACATGTAGTAGTATTCTTTGTTTTATGAGCCTTTTTAGAGACGGTATCGTCATCATCTGCGAGAATCAAGAGCCACGTTATTGAATATACAACACGGGCGCTTCACACCATCGTACGTGGTCTCGTACGTGGTCTCTTCACACCATCGTACGTGGTTTGAACGTATGAGGCGTGACAACCTATTTGTAAGCCAGAAGAAAGGAGGGTTGGGCCTTGTAAACGTAGAACTTAAGCTGAAAGTACAGCGTTTCCTATTTTTCCGCGATCAAGGCAATCCTCTCGTGATTTCTGCGTTTAAGGAGCTGGGAGGAAGCGTTTTGGGGCCGCGGCTCAAGGGGGACACTGGAGACTTCCGAGCACGTGCTCTGAAGTTTTACCAGGAAACAGCAGCGGCGAAGGAATTTTTCCGAGCCCGCTTTTCCGACGAGTACCTGCAGAAAGTTAAAAAGAAATCTCTATACTGGGACACAGTTGATTTGCTCATACCGCCCCCACTCTATCGCAGCTTTCCGGGAAGTGTGGATAAATCGGATGTATATCGTCGCTTACGTAGCTACCCTGTCAGAACGGCAGTCAAGAATTTTTTCCTACGCTTCCATTTCGAAGTACTGCCGGTCAAGACGTGGCTGGTTAAAAAAGGTTTCTTTGAACCGTGGTCAACAAATTGTGCGTTGTGTCCGTTTCCCGAAACACTTGAACATGTGTTTTTGTACTGTACGAATGCGGAGCTTTTTTGGGCAGAGCTTCGAGCAGTGCTGCAGATAGATCTTTACGTAGAGTGGAAGAGCGCGAAATTTTTGCTTTTCGGCGACAGTGCACAGAGTAGGGCATGGGAGCTGCTGGCACTCCTCGGTCTATATGCGCTGTGGCGGTCGAGGACGGATCACTTGGAGGTCCGAGAGGGATCCAAGCCCGCCTGGCAACACTTCTGCGACGGCTTTCTGTACGTGAGCAGCCTTCTTGAGGCGACGGAACAACAAGGGCTTGAATGTTGGTCGCTATTTGGAACGCGTATGCATAACCGCGCTGTAAAGGCTCAGTGGTAAACAAGGATTCCCGGGCCGCTGCGCGAGTGGCTGCTTGGGGTGCATGTGACGCTACAGAGAAATGATTGAGCGAGATACATTTTGAATTTGTGTGTGAATCGCGGTCCTCGCCTGTCAAACAGTGCTCACTGACATGATAAGTGTATGGCAGCCAATGTGATCATTTTAAAACTTTGTAAATAAACATACTTTTAATAAAAAAAAAAAAAAAAGGTGGAGTGGTGTAGTGGTTAGCACACCCGACCGGACATTGGGAGGCCCAGAGTTCAAATCCTGGCTCCGCCGTTTTTTGGCTTTCGGCGGGTTCCTGGAAACTTGGATTCTTTAATTCATTGGATTAAGTACGGTTCATTCATCTGCACAATTTCGTTTATATATATATATATATATATATATATATATATATATATATATATATATATATATATATATATATATATAAAGGCTGCTGTCCTAATTGTCGCCGCCTCCTGTTAGGAAGGTCAAGGGATATCCCTTCCTTGAGCGTTGCGATTATATATTGGTTCACGCCATGTTTATTTTTCGTTCTTTCGAGGTATTTTCATTTTTTTTTTTTGACGTGAGGAGAGTTTACGAATGTAGTTGTGAGCGACAGGCGCACTTTTGAATGTCGTTCACTTGCTTTGTTACGCGAAAAAATACACGAGACAGCATCTGATATTCTGGCCTAAGAATCTAAAATATAAATTTATGTGAGCTTTGTGTTTTTTTTACTTACGATTGTCGTCTTACGTGCACTGCCCAAGAAGGTTAACGAAAACATGATATTGGCGCGTTTTTATTTTACTTGCGGAGGGTTTTGGCGAGCACCAAGCTTTAGTGCATCAGTTACTGCACCGATGAAGCCCCTTCAACGACAGTGTTGAGTTTACTGGCACTCTGTTAATTGTGAGAGAAAAAGAAAATTATACATGCCATCACTTGTTTATAGCTTACAGGTTTGTGCCATGCAAACGAAGCTCTCAAATTAGCTACGTCACCGAACCCGCTAGGTTCGGTCTAGGCGAGACATGACTGCGAACATTACAAGCGAAATTAATGAATTTTTACAAGTAAAATGTTTATTCTACAGTCGGCGCCATCGAGTTGGCTCAGACCAGCGGTAGCTGAAAGGAGTAAAATGCCGCATCGGGTGTCTCCGTCATTCTTAGCTATGAAATCGCTGCGACAATAATAAATCTGGCAGGCGAGGGAAATCCATCAAATGTCCAGCATTGCAACTGTAAATTGAAAATGAGAATGCATAGCCAAACGTATTGCACTCTGATCAATAAGTTGGAGGATTTGTGTATCTGGAGGGCACCTGGCTAGGGCCTTCGGCCCCTCTGTTGTGCCTCCCCTACCACCCTGCCCCCTCTCCCAGTATTGCTACTTCGCAGACTAATAGATTTGCAAATGGTTGATCAAACATGATTGAAAATTAGATGGTGACATAATTTTATTTACTATTTCAAATCAACCAATTGTGCTTTTATTGCACGAGTAAGCTCTTGAGAACTGGTTTTACATGTCACAAACATGTCAGCATAAAATAGGAGCTATCTCGGCAGCTGTTATATGACGTCAGCAAAACATAACTGTTTTCAAGGGGTCAGAAGATCATTGCTAGCATTTCTGCTTGGAAGAAAGTAAGTATTTCAGATTATTATGACAGACAGCTACACAGAAATTCTCGCAAACGTTACATTAATCCAACAAAATTGCTTATATACTAAAAGCAAAACTCACGGCACGCGTATTTGTTCCGCTCATGATAAGCGTGGTTCTTATTTTGTCAAACCTCTGCGAACCTACCTAATAAAATATTTTGTACATTCCGAGAAACTCTACAGGCTTCAAGCATTATTTAAATAGCAATTTTTAGCGCAATGGATACAACGTTTCCAAGCCAAAGTATTCAAGTTTCGAGTTTATGTTTTTCACTTTTAATGAAATACTAACTAATGGGTAAATATAAACCTGTGCTAACATGTACTCTAGAGATTATAGTTTCATGTTTGCGTTGCACACCATAAGCCTTTTATTTTGTAAAGATTAAAAAATAGCTGTATGAGATGAAAAGCGCTGCGTCATCTCTAGATTTAAAGCTATTAAAAAAAAAACGGCTGTCGTGGCTTTATCATTCAATGTGAACGGTATGAATGACACGACACTGTTGGATTTAAAGCAGTATTCCCACACACCAAGATTTTTGCCATAATAACTTGTAATATCCCTTCAAGCACATCTCCGCACGTCGTTAAGAGTAGAGTCGAGGTTCAGGGGAGCCCATAAACATGGGCGTACCAACCGGGGGGGCAAGGGGGGCGCTCGCCTCCCCAGTGCTCAGAGTGGGGGGGCAAGGCATGTGTTGTGCCCCCCCCCCCCCTCCCCTGAAACAGCCGCCACTGGGCAGGGCAAACACTCGCCGGCGGCGCCCAAGGGCCAAGGGCACCGCCCCCCCCCCCCCCCCCCCCCCTCAAGACAAGTTAGTGCGCGCCGCTGCCCATAAACACCAAATCTATATTTTGTCCCACACTTCATTATTTATTCCGCATCCTTCGGAATCGAAATGGCGCAGTTTTTTTTTTTTTTTTTGCTCTCTTTACCTTATACCTTGTTTCCCTGCCTCTGCGTTTTGTATTTTGAAGGCATTACTAAAGCAAACGGGAACATGGCCGGAACCAAATTCTCCCTGTGGATTCTATAAATGTTTACGCACTGGTTGAGCTGGTGTGTAGCCCTGCTTAGCTTAACTTATTTATGAAGGAAAGGTGTGCGTTTTACCGTAAACTAAAGAACAAATACACCACAAATATGTAATCCAACCGCGTAAATGCAGTACTCTTATTTTGTAATGTGATATTTAAAGGGATGCTGAACCAAAATTTAGATTTCAGAAAACAACGCGGAAGCGCCTTCCCCCCCCCCCCCCCCCTCCCCGATAGCATCACTTATAAATATATAACTCCAACGGAAGGTAGTATTGTTGTGAAAGAAGAACGCGCTTGAACAAAGCCAAAAACGCCCGTGACGTCGCAATTCCCGTTTCCTCCTCTTGTCGCATTGACTCCGTGAGGACGCGAAGAGGGAAGGAAGCAAGGCCGTTTCCCCTCCTCCTCAACTACTCTGCAGAGAACTCGACGTCCCGATTCTCACTCATTCCCATCCTTGTTTTGCAAAAATACGGCCATCCGTTCGAGATATCACTTTATGAGGGGTGTTTTGAAGGTTGTGGCGCCCCGGTTGAACACTCCTGCTACCTTATTTTGTGATATCCAAGTTTCAGTTCAGCATCCCTTTAATACCTCAATCGATGACGTTAATGATAGGAACTAATGCGTTCATGCAGTCGTAAAAAGAGCACCAAAACGTCATTCTGAACTTATGAGCGAGCTCCAGCGCCAGTTACACGATTTCAGAATTATTATACAGGAAAAGAGAACACCAAACCCAACACTTTAAAGTTTCTTTTCTAAATCATTACAAGTGTTTTTGTGCCTCTTCTTTAGGGTAAGTAGAAAAGCGGCGTTGAGGTTACAACCTGCGAATACAATCTGCGAACAAACTTTAACCTTTACTACTTGGTTTCCTTAAGAAAATAGAAATTTAGCAGTAAAAGTAGCGCGCGTAGGGAACACTACATTTTTGAAAATTTGAACTAAAGCAAATTTTCGAATTAGCCTCTACCAACGCCCCGTGGGTACATGATGCCTGATTATGTCCCTGACGCAAAATACACAGGTGCTCTTATTCTGAAAACACTAAAAAAATTCTTGTTCTTCATTAAGTAAATACGTTGGCATAACCTTTCTCACGAGCTCCTACGGCCAGCATACCCGAATTGTTGGTTGCATTTTTTTGCCTTGTCTCAAGCTGTGCAAATCACGCTCGCAGTATAATAGCTCTTTCGAAATAAATAATTCTAACACCATTTTTTGTTCAATACTGAAACTCTTCAAGGGTTCACTGTTCACAGACACTTTCTTTGTGAGTATATTCTAAGCAACTCCTCGCATTATGATGAGTGCTGTTATTAATATCCCGACAAAATAGAAGAAGCCTAAAAATACCATGCTTGAAACCATTCTGGAAAGGCGTTACCTGCAAAGGGCCTAACGACGAAGATAAAACGTTATCTGGGTAAATTTTTTCTATATTTTTATGTACTATCGCTTCCCGGTCGAAGGCGCCGTAGAGCTGGGTTTAATGTCATGCACGCCTCTAGACGCAGGCTGCGCAAAAACGATATCGGTGCTTTCTCGTCCAGGTACCTCCGGATTCAAAATTCTAGCGGCTAAGCTAGTGTCGTATATGACACTGAGAGGTTCACAGAACAATATATCGATGCATAACAGCAAGCTGAATTCCATCACAAGTTCTACACAGCGTCCAAAAATAAATAAATAGAAGTTTAATTTAGCCCTTTTCAGTCAAAGGCTGCTGAGAAACTTTGTATGATGCAAGTTAATGAAGATTGGCGTGTCTCAATCCCGCCATTATTTCGGCAAAGAAAGACGAGGCTGAACATCTGCCCCTTCCGTTTGTTAATGAGTTCTCAATACACGTACCTTCGAAGACGGCGAACACTGATTGCGTGATTACGGCAGCCAGAAGACGGCCGCTCGATTCCTTCTGTGCGTTTTCTACAAGTCCGCAGTGGAGAATTGAGCACCCGTTGTTAGGTTGATTGCAAAAGGAAACTTACATAGATCATTCCGCAATTACGACAGAACACGCCTCAAGCCGGTTGTTCTTACTTTTTAATTTTTTCCTCAATGGAAGTTCTCTTTTGTTAGTACTTCCCTAAAGGAATAAACATAAAGGCGCAAGTCAAGTTGTTTTGGAAATTGTGTGAACTAAACATTTGAGATGAGCGGTCGCATTGTTAAGATACACTATGACGTCTTATAAGAACTCGTGCTCTAAACAAATGCTTGCGCTCCAGTATTACAGTGGGATACACACAGAGAAAATTGCAAAGTATACGCAACGGCAATTGTCACTGGGCATCCGGCAGCCATTGTGTCTCAGCTCGTGGGAGCAGACATGCACAGTTACAATCATTCCAGAGCCAATTTCACGCGCATGCTGTTCGTCTTTGAATGTATAGAGCGCATGCTTGCAATTGGTCTTTTGTTTG